GCCATGGCTGCTGGGAGCCCGGCCCTGGGCCCTGCAGCCCCGCCCACCTTCTCCTGGGCCTTCTTCTTGGACGCCTCGTCCATCCAGCTCAGCTCGCCCAGGGTTTCCACGAACACGGCCCGCACCTTGTCGATGAGCTCTCCGACCTGGGAGCACCCCATGTGCCCGGGTGACCGCCTGGCCCACAGCCCCAGCAGCGGCTGCTCCGGATGGGAGTGGGGTTGGGGCGGGGCTGGCCCTCCTGGGACAGGGTCTCTACAGCTGTGCTCCGTTCTAGGGCACCTAGGGCCTCCCACCCCCGGACACACACGCCAACCGTCCCTGGCAGCCTGCAAGGTCCTTGCCCGGCTGGGGCCCCGGGCCCGGCGGGCGAGGCTTCCCCTGGCCTCCCCTTCTTGGGCATCAGGGTAAACGTGTGCTTCCCCGTCGCCTCCCCGAAAACACCCTCACTGCTGGGGCCACAGCCTCCCCGTGGGAGCTCTGAGTCACAGGGCCAGCGCGTCTTGTGGTCACGCGGGTGCGTCCCTGCACGAGCCCTCGAGCACAGGGAGCCGGCACCCACCGCGTTCTTGCTGCCTCTGGAGAAGGCCTTCTTGACGTAGAGGGAGCCCACGGCGCTCTCCATGTTGCTGTTGACGTAGCTGACGCATTCCCGCCAGCGCACCTCGTTTGTGGTCTTGCCGTACAGCACCTGGTGGTCATTCATCCATCCATTCATTCATTCATGCATTCATTCACTTAGACATTCATTCATGCACTTACTCAGTCATCCATTACTCAGTCATTCACTCACGTATTCATTCTTTCACTTATCCATTCACACAACCATTCATTCACTCACTTATCCATCATTCATTCACTTAGATATTCACTCACTTAACCATTCATTCGCTCACTTATCCATTCATTCATTCACTTAGACATTTATTCATTCACTTACTCAGTCATTCATTTACTCAGTCATTCATTTACTCAGTCATTCGCTCATGTATTCATTCATTCACTTATCCATTCATTCACTTATCCATTCACTAACTTATCCATTCATTCATTCATTCCCTTGTTCTTTCTCTTATTCATTCGCTCATTCATTGACTTATTCAATCATTCATTCACCCACTCATTCATTCACTCACTTATCCATTCATTCATTTAATTAGACATTCATTCATTCACTTAGTCATTCACTCATTTAGTCATTCTTCATTTACCCATTCATTTGCTTAGTCATTCATTCACTCATTCACTCAATCATTCATCCATTCACTTACTCACTGTCATTCATTCACTTATTCATTCACTCACTCACTGTCATTCATTCATTCCAGGGCATTTACCAACATGTACTTCCCCTCCTCAGCTTTAGAGCACCCAGTGGTTGTGGGGGAGACACGGGATAACCTCAGAGACCTACCTTTGAATGCTGGGCATGGGGGTGGGGATGGTCGAGTGTGCCGTTTGCAGGGGGTTCCACCCAGGGAGGGAGTTGGGGGATGGAGGGGCCCTACCCAGCCCCAAGCTCCTCATTCCCTGTGCTTGCCGCCCTGGCCTCCTTGATGGCTGGACCCCATGACCTCAGTGCTCGTGCCCCCCACCCCCTCAGGGGCTGAGTATCATAAGCGAACTGAAGGAATGACGGCTGGGCTCAGGGCTGGGGCCGGAGCCACTGGTGCGGGTCTCACACACCTTGCGGTACTTTGCACGTGCGTCCTTGAACCGTTGGCTCAGGCTGCTAATGCGATCCTGCACCAGGCGCCACACCAGGTAGTTCTGCATGGTCCTGGGGGCGGGGCAGAGGGCGGACAGGCAGGTGAGGGGGGACAGGACAGGTGAGGGGAGACAGGACAGGTGAGGGGGGACAGGACAGGTGAGGGGAGACAGGACAGGTGAGGGGGGACAGGACAGGTGAGGGGAGACAGGACAGGTGAGGGGGGACAGGACAGGTGAGGGGAGACAGGACAGGTGAGGGGGGACAGGACAGGTGAGGGGAGACAGGACAGGTGAGGGGGGACAGGGGGCGGGGCAGAGGGCGGACAGGCAGGTGAGGGGGAGTTTGCATGGTCCTGGGGGTGGGGCAGAGGGCGGACAGGACAGGTAAGTGGCATTTGCTCAGGGAGGGATATTGGTTATGGGTCTTTGGCCGCCAGGGTCTCTCTGGGACAGGGAGCTCAGTGCGGTAGACGGCCTCTGAGGCATCTCATGAGAGATGGAGACGGGCCTGGGACAGGAAGCTCTACCCCCGGCTACAGCCTGTGGGCTCTGGAGGCTTGAGATGCCTCGGGAGGGGTTCAGTCCCTAGCAGGTGGCTCCACTGGCCATTACCATTCACCCCGTGTCCCCCATGCTCAGTCATGGCCCGGGGGGCTCTCTCCTGAGAGGAGCAGCTGCGGGGAGGGGGCAGAGCAGGGCAAAGGTGCAGAGGCTGCCGGGCCCCCCGGCCCCCGGCTGCACCTGTCTGAGAAGACGTCGATGATGCTCTCCAGCTTCTGGAGGTAGGGGATGCCGTAGACCACCACCTCCTCATCGGGCAGCAGCTGGATTTTGACAGAAGTCAGCACTGACTGTATGAAGAGGGTCCAGTTAAATCCCTGGGGAGGGGAGAGAGAGAGGTGGGCACAGCGCCGGGGCGCCCAGGACACCCAGCCCCCACCAGAGAATAGCCAAGAAATAAGAGAGAAGGTGCAGCCCCGCTGGTGTGGCTCAGTGGTTGAGCATTAACCTAGGAACCAGGAGGTCACGGTTCGATTCCTGGTCAGGGCACAGGCAATGGGTTGTGGTCTTGATCCCCAGTGTGGGGTGTGCAAGAGGCAGCTGATCCATGATTCTCTCTCATCATGGCTGTTTCTCTCTCTCCCTCTCCCTTCCTCTCTGAGATTAATAAAGATATAATTAAAAAGAAAAAAAGAGGGAGAGGAGGTGGTGACAGGGCAGGGCCTGGTGGTGACATAACTGCAGAGCTGACAGCCGGGGAGCAGGTGCCAGATTATATCTGAAAACTCAACAGTAATGGGAAGAGTCCTGGGGAAGCACCACGTAGCAACACGACTAAAGGAGCAGGACCTGCACTCAGTGCTGCAGCAGTAACCCCAGTTCACGGTCACTCTGGCACCGGCTGGAGGCCGCCGCCCTTCAACCAGACCAAGGGGTGAGAGAGTCCGCGGGGCTTGGAGGGGAAGAGACCACGCCGTCACTTCTCCCCACGCCGTGGTTTGTGTGCAGAAGCCGTGAACTCTAACGGCACCGACAGGGGGTGGGAACCAATGCCGGGCATCGAGCGGACGCCGTGCCGGAGCCCAGGTTCCGCATAACCAGCCACAGGCGGGCACGTGGCGAGGACACATTTGCAGGTGTGTAAACAGCGGGCCAGGGAGGCGCCTCCTGAGAGGTGTAGCCGGCCTCGGAGCAGAGAGCTCGGCAGCCCCCGAGGGGGTGGAGGGAACGGGAGCACACGGACACGCATGTGGCTCAGGGACCGGAGGCCTCAGCAGGGAAGACGCCCATTTCCCCCAGATCGGCACGTAGAGTCGAAGCAGCCCTGTCAGCCTCTCCCAGGCTGGCGTGTGGGATTGGCAAGCTGACTCTGAGGTTTTAAAAAATTTGTATTTTTATTAATTTCAGAGAGGAAGGGAGAGGGAGAGAGAGAAACATCAATGAAGAGAGAGAATCATTGATCGCCGCCTCCTGCACGCCCCACACTCGGGGTTGAACCCGCAACCCGGGCCTGTGCCCTGACTGGGAATCGAACCATGACTTCCCGGTTCATAGGTCGACGCTCACCCACTGAGCCACAAGGCCGGGCCTGACTCTCAGTTTTGTAAGAAAATGCAAATGACCATAATACTCAAGGGGACCCGGGAGGATGGAGTTGCTCAACTTACTCTGTGGACTATTGAGAATTCTCCTAGAGCTGCAGCAACGGGGCAGTGGGTGCCGGCCCGGGGCAGACAGACAGTGGGACAGAGAGCGTTCACGCACACACACAGGTGCACACACACAGGTGAACACACACAGGTGCACACACACAGGTGCACACACACTCTTGCAGACACACATAGGTGCACACACACACAGGTGCACACACAC